GAAGCCAGATAGTCACCAACAAAGCCTTTAAAAAAGTCACCAGCCAAAGGGTTCTGTAAGAACTTCCCATCACACCAAGCTACAATCCCCGAAACGGTTCATTTTCACATATTGATGTCCAGACGGCCAAACAGGTAACAAGTTGGTCAATTCATTAAAAAAAACATAATTACATTTTCCCTTAGAAAGTAGAATAAGTTCTTATAGATATAGAAGATATTCTCCATATATAATTCTCAAGTTCTGAAAGATGTATGTGTAAGAACATCCATCTCAGGAAAGAAAAGAAAAACCATAGTGCCTACTAGAATAAAGAAAAACATCCTTCAGGACACTCTTTTTGCAATTAGTATCTCAAGGTGTGCTAACAAAGCTAGACACCCCTTTTATATATATATATATATGAATGAATGACAATTATAGAACCCTAAAACTGTAATCACTTATTTTCTTTAGTTTGACACCAAACCAATACAAAAATACAGACCAGAAGGTACAAATAAGACTATGCTGATTTCCCATGGGGGAAAAGAATTTTTTTACCCCCTCCACCCAAAGCACGAGTTTTCCCACACTTTGGAAAATTAAAAACACATGGAAAAAGCAGCGTTGGGTATTGACCTTCAAGAATTTTGTCAGGATTTATTTTCTTGCACTTGAGTGAGGAAGTAGGCCATGCTATAACAGTCTGGAGAACATGTCTTTCTATGCCACCATCACACTTCTGACCATGTCTGATACTACATGGCTTTAGAAAAAGCTGTGAGGTTTCTTCTTTAGGAGGAGAAACCTCAGAATGGATGAGAAAATTACCATGAGGGGACACCTAACCATCCACAGGTGGCTTCTTCTTCAAGAAAGTCCCAAGTCATGCATCCTTCACAAGGCAACCCTGTGTCTTCTCAGCATCAAACATCATCAGATGTCCCCCCAAACTCTTCGCCCAAACTATATCATGCAACAAAAGTCATTGAGCAAAAGTTTTATCAGCAGTATATTAAAGCACTCTCTTGCAAAAGAGAGGGTTATGGCCTGCTTCAACTTCTCTGCAACCTTTTTACACGACCTCATCTCTCCCCGAGTTCCTCTGTGTTTTCAGGTGTTTCATTTTGTTTTGGTTTTTTTCAAATCGATAGAGAAGTCATTCTCCATCTCTCCCCACTTTATTGTCCATTTCCTGACTTCTTCTACCTTCCGAGGGAGGAAATGACCAAACCAAACACAGGCACTCAGTCACAAAAAGTGACCTCACTGTGTATCATGACATTGTCATATTTGATACCTACCACCTCACTTAGATTTCATATATCCTGAGTATTCAGTGCAGTATATGAAATCTAAGATCAGAAGTACTTCTTACATCACTGGAGAAGACGACAACAGCGTTCCCAGATACCTGCTACCCATGACAGCTCATTAATACACAAAAAAAATTCACAGGCACGCTCCAAAGGAAGACTATCAAGTAACAAACAAAAAAGTTGAAATAATCCAGGAAGGAAAAAAAAAAAAATTCATCAAGAGAGGTGTCTGCAACATCACGACCTAACTTCCCATTCCACGCCAGGAATCGCCTCTGAAACTCAGGATATAAGAAATAGCTTATGCGCCCAAAAACCCAATTCTTTCACCTCTATCTGTTGGTCTAATATACCTTTCTCATACCTTCTACCCACCACATCTTTACGACCTCTAACTTAAACAGCTTCTTATTGCTAAGAAAACGGGGAATTCTGCCTCAATGCAAGGCCGCTGGGAATACTGACCACAGTCCTGGGATAGCAGGCTGTTCAAGTAAGGGAAACTGATCCTCTTCAGCTCATCTAGCTTCTCCTTCAGCTTCCTGACTTGACTGTCAGAGCGACTGATCCTCTGCCTCAACAGTTTCAACTCTCCGTTCTTCTTTTCTACCTGCTCACGCAAGCAGCACACCTGACTTTTGCTCTGCCTGGAGGAGAAACAGTACGAGTGGAGGGAATCGATGAGTTTGCAAGCTCCCGAGGCTGACATGATGACCTCATTGATTGACATGGGGTTGGCATCCGTGTCACCCTTCCGCCCCACCACAGCCTCAGCGGCAGGCTGAGGGGTAAGGTCTGCTGGGGACGCCGACAAACCCTGGGAAGGTTTCTGAGGGGTCGCCGTGAGGGATGAAGTAGGGGAGCCCTCCGCTACAGCCTTATCATGTCCCATGAGATGGCTGCTGCAGCTTGGTTCCACGTCTCTCTTTGGCCTTTTCCTTTCTAGCTGCTCTTTTGGGAAAGACGGCCTCTCTCTGGCATGCTTAGAGGAAAAGCTGTAAGAATGCAGGGATCCGATGAACTTGCAAGCACCAGAGGCAGGAGGTGTAAAGTCGTCGACCGAGACGCCGCTTCTGTCTGCCACCCAGCTCCCTGTCCAGGTGGCTTTAGGACAGTCCTCCACAGAAGATCTCTCGGGCTTTTTCTGAGGTCCAGGCTTTGCAACCAAATTATCACCTAACGTCCTTCTCCGAGGGCCGTCCAGCTGACCACGGAGGTTCTCTTCCTCCTTGGACATTGATCCAATTTCTGCTTGCAAAGTCACCTCCTCCATCTCTTCCGCCCCTTGAATCACCATGAAGTCCTGGCCAGAAGACGAGGTCCTCTGAACTACCTCACAGCCTCCTTCCCTTGGGTCTTCTCCATCCTGCTGCGGCACCTTGCTCGCTATTTTTCTTCTGCTTCTGACATAATCCAGGTTGTCGTGTTTTTTCTCTGCAAGCTGGAAGATGGTGGGGACAGCAGTGGGCTTCAGCAACCGGTGCTGGTCTTCCAGCCGCTTCGAAAAACTGTCTTTGGTGAAATGCTCGCTGCAAAGAAACGAATACTTGGTGGGAGTCCAGTTGTCTCTCTGAACAGCTTTTAGCCACTGAATCAGACGCTTTGAATCCTTCAGAGGGAATCTGAAAAACAAACAGATAAAAAAACATTAAAAAATAAGCCGCATTTTGGAAAGCAGAAGGGTTTGCCCTCTTCGGTTTAGGAAATTCTTGTGAAAGCTGTATTTGAACAGGTTACGCTCGCTTGAGGATTCTTTCACTTTGGTCCGAAATGCTCGATATTTGGTCCCGCTGTCAGCGGCCCAATTTCACACACAGCATCGAACTAAAAAGAAAATTCAAAAAAAAGAAAAGCACCGTTTCCCATTTTCCATCAGCAACCCACCCGTCACTCACCGGCTCTCATCTACC